TTGAAAATCAAGAGTTCAAAGTTTTCTCTCTCTCTCTATGTATATTTCTCTCTCCCACTCGCCTGCTCATCTTAAAGTAGAGTAGTTATAATTGACTGTGACTTGAACCTTTATACTTCATTTAATGATGGCAATTTTAGTTTTTCCACAACTTATCCCTAGAGAATCGAAAGAAAACCAAAAGAAGTCAAAGATACAGATATGTGTGCTTGGGTTTGGGGTTGGCTTATGCCTGGAATCCTAGGACCAAAGTTAATTTTCTTGGGGGTGGATGGTGACGGGTTAGGAGCAAAGAATTATTGAATTCAAACAATGAAATGAAGAAACTTTTATTATTTCAATACTTTGTGAAAACACAAGGCACACTCTCACACACACACTCTCTCAACTAACACACACTCATCCAACATATTAAAAATTCTTTATTTATTTTATAAAAGATCTTCTTCGTTGTCTTTTTCTTTTCTTTTTTTCCTCAAAGAAAAATGAATGAATGAAAAGTTTTCTTCTTGCAGCACTAAATGATGAAAAATAATTCCTCTGCCATCCGTTGTGGCATTCAAAAGAGAAAACTTATCGAAAAGGCTTTTCCTTGGTTTGAATTATTTCAAATATTCTCCTTTGTCTACTGGGGATGGGGGAGGGGTAGGTGTTAAAGTTTTTAAAAAGGATTTATTAAAAGATTTCAATGGCAAAATTTTATTTGAATGAACAAAGGAGGAAAAACGGTAATTTTAATAGGAAATTAATTTTAGAGGAGATAGAGAAAGATTACATGAAGAAAGAGACAGAGAGAGAGAGAGAGAGAGTGAGAGAGAAAATTACATAATTTAAAAAAAACAAGTTGAGAAGTAACAGTCGGTTTTGCCGACTGGTGTATATCCTCAGCCAATGTTCGATTATTTAAATATGTTTTGACTTCAGTTCCGATTATTCAAATTGTTGACCCTCTATGGAGTAGGTTACAAAGGAATTGGTCAGTATTGTCCATTTCGCATCGGACCTAAATAAATATGATATAAATATTGCCACGTTCCAATTTTGATAATTTGTAGAAAATTGTAAAATATGGGTCCGGTACCAGATATAGCCGACCGAGGTATCCCATTTTCATACCTCATTTAATAGAGATAAAAATATTGGTATTAGTCAAATTACAAGAAAATCGAAAATTTTTATCCAATTTTATGCGAAATCATAAATTCCATATTCATCTAAGGTTTCCGGTTGAGAGATATAATTTAGATGCAGCAAGTTGTAAAGAATCACCGTCTTGTTTCACAATTTATGACAGATAAAAGTATTGAAAGTCCCTTTGTGGGTAAGGTATCAGAGAGGTTCGCAGATATAGAGGGAGAGATGAAAAAACTGCAACCAACTTCAGACTGCTGTAATTTCAAGGCTACTCGTCCGACAGCTGCTAAAATTATTCCAGTGACAGCTCATTTTATTGCTTACAAGCGTACAAAAGCATTTTATTGAGAATTTCACAGAAAAAAACTTATTCGTGATGGAATTGAAGCGTGATAGTGCGATTTCTTTATATTTGGCTGGAAAACCACAAGTGGCTAGAGGTTAGAGTACTCCAGCATTTAAATGTGAATAAATCTTTTGAGTCTCGTACCATCGCTCGTTATCGTGATACTGGCAGCGTAGCCCGACATCAAGGAAGTGGACGGAAGAAAACAGCAACATCTGCAGAAATGGTTCGAAAAGTAAAGAAGCGACTTAATCGAAACCTCGCAATGACCGAAAAATGGCTCGTGAGCTGAACATCGCAATCACAATATTCCTTTCGACAAATATTGAAAAAAGGGCCCGGGGCAAAGCCTTTGAAATTCCAAAAAGTGCAAGAACTTAAACCGCAACAGAAAGAAAATAGACTCAAAAGAGCTTGGCCGAAAGTTGTGAACAGCCGAATTTGGTTTTTATTTTAACATTCGTTATCCAGCAGTTTGTAAACAATCAAAATGATCGTGTTTACTTGCCAAAGAGGTCAGCTGAAAATGTGCATTTTCGGTTGGCCACCAGAACTCAAGCGCCGACCATGGTGATGGTGTGGGTCGCATTAACAGCCAATGGTCGCTCTCCGCTCGTATTAATCGACCGTGGCATCAGAAAAAATGGCGAATATATTGCGAAAATATTCTGAGGTTGGAGGTTGGGCACGCAAACATTTTGGCCGCAGACCTTGGACATTCCAACCTGAGTCGGCACCATCGCACTAAGCACACACCACTCAAAAATGGTTACAAAATGAGGTTCCTCGTTTCATTTCCAGCGCACAATGGCCACCAACATCTCCGGATACCAATCCGTTGCACTATTGTGTCTGGAGTATTTTGAAAAGCAAGGTTGGCACTAAAAAATACCAAAGTGTCGATCACCTCAAGCAAGCGCTTCGCCGGGAATGGCCAAAATACCCCTGAGCAACATTCAGGCAGCATGTGACGGTTTCATTGGCCGTTTGAAGGCCATAATTCGTGCCAAAGGCGACCAATTCGAACAAATCTAAACTTAGTCGAAAATTTGATGCTATTTCCGACATTTTTTTGCTTTCATTCAATAAAATTAAAAAAATGTAAAAATTATAGCATTTGACTTTGAAGTCGATTTAAAGACGAAAATCTCACTTTCGGAATCTGGAAAGAGCCTTCCTTTCTACACCGTACTATGGAGGGTATATTAACTTTGTCATTCCGTTTGTAACTCCTTGAAATAGTCATGCCAGACCAAACTAAGTATATATATTCTTGATCAGCGTACAATTCAAAGTCGATTAAGCGATTTACGTCCGTCTGTTGTAATTACGCTATCTTTCGAAGGAATTGAGATGGAAGGCCAAAAATGTTGCACTCATGTGCATTTTGCCAGTATCCAGGCTAAGTTCGTAAATGGATCATCTCGATCCACGACTTCGTATAACCCCTATATAACGTTACCTCCCAATATTCGGTATTTTTATGGTATTAGAGAAATTATATACCGGAGTTGTTTTAAATTTCGTATTTAAAAGTTCCATAAACCTATATTTTTTAAACCAGTTTTTCGGCCGCCGACGTGCAATGGCTTTGAATGCCTTCGTTATGGCTTAATTAAGAAATTTCCATAAATTTTTAGGTGTGGTGAGTTTCGGCAAAAATTCACCACACCTTGAAAATACTGTCAAATAATCTTATATCAGATAGTGACATAAACTAGAAGGATTATAAACATTTTCTAAAGTGTGGTGAGTATTTTCTGCCATTTTTTGCACAAAGTAGGAACAATATATCATTTTTATAAAATTTATTTACGAAATTATAGGATATAAGGATGCTTATTCGTGGCACACGATCTTACAGCACTAAAATGTTGACGTCAAACGTATCTAATTATGCAATTTCATTAATTTTGCCAGTGTGGTGAGTTTTGCAAAAATTCAAATTCAGCAATTTTTTAACAATTTTATTATTTTTTTTTTTCTTATTTATTTCATAAAATTCTATAACTTTCGCTAGTTTATTCCTCGCAAATAAGCTTGTATCGAATTGTAAGGTCTTTGAATGCCTTCGCTGCGGTTTATATAAGAAATTTCTATAAATTTTTAGGTCTGGTGAGCTTCGGCAGAAATTCACCACACCTTGAAATTTATATAAAATGCATCTATATCACCTTCTAATGTAAGATAAAATCATTATAGGCCTTTTTGAGGGTATGGTGTTTATATATATACATGGCTTTTTCAACCTCTTGAGAGCAAAAGGATTTAGTTTCGCCAAATTTTAACTTCTTGCTAAGTACTATGTTACTAAGTGCTTGTTTCCACCAAATTTTTAAATTTTCTATTTTCGTAGATAATTTCCATTACGAAATCCAAAGATCGGAAAGATTTAAGATTTATATATAAGATTTGTATATTGTTAGGAAGCTTAAAATTAGGTCAACAGTACAGACAGTTCTTTACAAGGATATTTCAGTCCTCTGGAAACCAAACTGCTGATTTACAGCAAATTCGCTCGAAAAATATGAATAAATCGCCAAAAAATACCTTAATTGGGCGGTACTGATACTGTGGATATATATGGCCCATTTTCAATGCTAACAATTGCATGGACCTAAAATTCATCTGAGTTAAAATTTTACGAACCTATTTCGTCTCGATAAAAAGGTAGAGTAATAGAGTAGAGTAATTTCCACATAAGGATAGGCAGACGGATGGACATGGCTACAGCGATATAGGGTTTCATGCTGATCAAGAATATATATATTTTGTGGGGTCTAAAATGCTTATTTTGAGAAGTTACAAACGCGACTATACGAATATAGAACTGAAGTGATATCGAGTCAATATTGTCCTTAAGGAGAGGAGAATAATTTATTAGGGCACTCATTTTCTCTCCCAACAACAAGTCTCTGTTGAGCACACACTCATACTTGCATACACCACCACAACAAGTTGTCAAACAAGTTTCCTCTCCCTCCAACTGATAAGTAAATGTCAATCTCCTTGTACAACTCCTTGCATGTCCTTACCAAGTTGCAGGACCTTCAAGATGTCAATTATGCAGGACACCAATAAGGATTATTAAAATGCATTTAATTTGTAGATTTTCCAAAGGACTTGATGAGTCTCAAGTGTCACAGAGGTAATACATCAATTAAGTCGTAGTTCATAATTAATTCATTTTGTAAGGAGGAACAAGAATAACTTTCGGGAGAGGAGGGAGAGAATTTTAAGGAGAGATAACAAAGAAACTTTGCAAGAGCAAAGTTTCGAAGGATAAGGAGGGATGAACCGGAAAACAATTCTCTTAGAGTTTTACTTATTCAGTATTCCAATTAAGAATATACCAATATAGTGGGCCATGAGGTGTGGTAGGTCTGATCTAAGAATCGCAGTGGGCATACTGACTGGCCACTGCAGTATCAGGAACCTGACCTCAATATGGGACAACAGGGTTCCTAACTACAGTTGATAATTCATAAACGTTTAGGCAATTTTTCAAATTCCTACTCACCACTTGTTTCATTTGCTGCGCCCTGAGATCCCGACTGCTGTTGTGCTGCTGCTGCTGCTGCTTGTGCCTGCTGATGTTGTTGTTGTTGATGCTGCTGTGACTGCTGCTGATGATGGATGTTTGTGGAACAGAATGCACTGCCACCCAAGCCAGCCGACAATGGGGGCTGGCTTGAAGGAGGTGGTGCCGCTGATGCAACACCTGTTGCACTACTCGGATATCCACTACTGGCACGATATGTTGGCGGTGGCGAACCAGGATCACAATGACCCGGTGGTGGCGGCCCATAATGTGATGGTGGCGGAGGACCCGCGGCATAGTGATGAGGCGGTGGTGGCATACCATGATGTTCGGCACCGGCCTGTTGATACTGATGATGGGCATGCACATGGGCATATTGATGCTGATGATGCACCCCGCCAGCGCCATGTGGTGACATATGATGTGCATGATAGGCAGCAGCCGCTGCTGCTGCTGCCGCCGCATAGGAAGGAGGCGGTGGACCATGATGTTCCATGGGTTCAGTGTGAATGCCCAAATCGGCGGGGTTGTAGAGACCGGCGGCGGCATTCAGTGTCTCCGACAGTGATGAGGCCGAGGTTGCCTGCGAGGTGGCAGTTGTGGGCGGAGGTGAGACAATTGGAGTGCCTGGAATGAAGATATGAAGGATAATGGTAAGTAAACAAATAATCTAGGGTATTTTTAAAGAGGATTTCCAAGGACTCTATTGGCAATAAACGTGAATTTTTTACGAAGATTTTTTCAAGGACTCTCTAGCTCATAAAAGTGGATTTTTTAAAGAGGATTTTTTCAAGGACTCTCTAAACATAATAAACGGACTCGCTAGGCCATAAACGTGGATTTTTTAAAGAAGATTTTCTCAAGGACTCTTTAGGTCATAAACGAGGATTTTTTAAAGAAGATTTTCTCAAGGACTCTAAGCCCACAAACGTGGATTTTTTAAAGAAGATTTTCTCAAGGACTCTTTAGGTCATAAACGTGGATTTTTTAAAGAAGATTTTCTCAAGAACTCTTAGCCCATAAACGTGGATTTTTTAAAGAACATTTTCTCAAGGACTCTTTAGGTCATAAACGTGGATTTTTTAAAGAAGATTTTCTCAAGAACTCTTAGCCCATAAACGTGGATTTTTTAAAGAAGATTTTCTCAAGGACTCTTTAGGTCATAAACATGGATTTTTTAAAGAAGATTTTCTCAAGGACTCTTTAGGTCATAAACGTGGATTTTTTAAAGAAGATTTTCTCATGGACTCTCTAGGACATAAACGTGGATTATTTAAAGAAGATTTTCTCACGGACTCTCTAGGACATAAACGTGGATTATTAAATATTTTCTTAAGGACTCTTAGGCCACAATTGTGGATTTTGAAGGAAGATTTCCTCAAGGACTCTCTAGGCCATAAACGTGGATTTTTTAAAGGAAGATTTCCTCAAGGACTCTCTAGGCCATAAACGTGGATTTTTAAAAAAGATTTTCTCAAGGACTTTCTGAACATTAAACGTGGATTTTTAAAGAAGATTTTCTCAGGGACTCTCTAAGCAATAAACGTGGATTTTTAAAGAAGATTTCTTCAAGGACTCTCTAGGCCATAAACGTGGATTTTTAAAAAAGATTTTCTCAAGGACTCTCTAGGCCATAAACGTGGATTTTTAAAGATTTTCTCAAGGACTCTCTAGGCCATAAACGTGGATTTTTTAAAGAAGATTTTCTCAAGGACTCTCTAGGCCATAAATGTGGATTTTATAAAGAAGATTTTCTCAAGGACTCTCTAGGCAATAAACGTGGATTTTTTAAAGAAGATTTTCTCAAGGACTCTCTAGGCCATAAACGTGGATTTTTTAAAGGAGACTTTCTCAAGGACTCTTTGGAACATAAACGTGGATTTTTAAAGAAGGTTTTCTCAAGGACTCTCTAGGCCATAAACGTGGATTTTTAAAGAAGATTTTGTTAAGGACTCTCAAGGCCATAAACGTGGATTTTTTAAAGAAGATTTTCTCAAGGACTCTGTAAGACATAAACGTGGATTTTAAACAGATTTTCTCAAGGACTCTGTAGGACATAAACATGGATTTTTAAAGAGGATTTTTTCGAGGACTTCTAGGCCATAAACGTAGATTTTTAAAGAAGATTTTTTCAAGGACTTCCAGGCCATAAACGTGGATTTTTAAAGAAGATTTTTTCAAGGACTTCCAGGCCATAAACGTGGATTTTTAAAGAAGATTTTCGCAAGGACTTCTAGGCCATAAACGTGGAAGAAGATTTCTTCAAAGAAGATTTCTTCAAGGACTATCTAAGCAATAAACGTGGATTTTTAAAAACAGGTTCTTCGAGGTCATTTTACATGAATTTTTCTAAAAAAATTTAAGGACTATTAGAGCAAAAAATGTGAGTTTCTTAAAACAAATTTGAAGGACTCTCTGTGGTGAATTTTTAAGAAATTTCTTTCACGGACCATAACAGTATGGATAACACAAAACTTTACTCACCTTCACTAGCCCCACTGCCGGCAGCACCGGGAGGCAGCATACTTGACAGAGCACTCAATGGCGTATAAGACTTTGGCGGTGGCTCCGTTGAACCGGGCCTCAGCAAACGCTCCTCCGTAACGCTAGACTGAACACGATATTGCATCTTACAATAGGCCTCCTGGCCAGCACCTGAACTTGAATTGACATAGACCCCAGTAATGGTGACATCTGTATCCTGGACAATAACCACACTCGATGAGGTGGGACGACTTGAATCCTTGGCCTCTTTCGTGCTACTCGTTGTGGTACTGCTACCCGACGAACTCGATGTGGTGGTAGTAGTTGTATCTGTATTGGTTTCTTTGGTATCCTTGGAATACTTGGAATCATTGCTTTCCTCACAGATATTTGTGGGTTGTTTTTCCAGCTTCGTGGGTGTGTTGGGAGTGGCTTGGGTGGATTTTGTTTCAGCGACAGCAGGAGTAGAGGTTTTCAAAGGAGTTGTTGTAAGGGGAGTGGGTGTTGTGGTGGTGGTGGAGGTCGTGGTATTGCTGCTAGTTGCTGTAGGTTCCATAGATGTGCTTGTTGTTGTTTCTTTGATTGTGGGAGTACTTCGGGATACCACCGAACTGGGGTTGGCTGCTGCAGTTACAGTTGCCTCCCTTGTAAGATCGGGAGTGGCTGTCTTACTGGGTGATGCTGTTGCCGCACCTGTGGCCGAGGCACTGGCATTGCCGGGCGTTTTGACCGCTTTGCCTTCCCTACCCTTGGCCTCCTTGGACTTTTTACTCGGCGTCTTCTGCTCATCTTCATAGGTCTCATAGCCACTGAGCTGGCCCAAATTCCTATCCAAATGTCGTTCCACTTCATAGGTGGCTGCCACAATGGCACTGGCATTCAAGCTGGCCATACGCTTGCGGGCCAATATACCCTTATAGTCCCCAATGAGTTCCTCTTTGAAAATCCGCTTTCGTTTCTTCGGAGGCTTTTTGGCCTCTGGTAGCTTGAGTTTTGACGGCTTTTCTTTATCCCCGCCTTCTTCCTTATCCGAAGATTCAGAATTACCCTCCTCCGCCGAACTACCGGTGCTTAGTTTAACCATTTTCTTAAGGGGTTTCTTGATTTTTGTATACTTCCGTTTGACTTTAATGGGTGTTTCCGGTTCCTTGGATTCACCTTCTCCCTTGGCTTTTGCCTTAAGCTGCTTTTCCATTTCCTTTTCTTTCTTGGCTTGCAGCCGCTTTTGCAGCTTTTTCTTTTTGAGTCTCATTTGTTCGATTTCGTCTAGCTCACTATCGCTATCGAATTCCCAGTATTTGCCAAAACCTCGTCCGCCGGCATCATTGCGTTGCTCCCTTTTCAGCTCTCCCACAGGCTCTTCAATGGGTTCTGTGGGTTCCTTTTCCGCCTTAGGGGCATCCTCAATCTTCAAAGGGTCTTCGGACTTTTTCTCCTTCTTGGTTTTGGGTTTATCCTCTGATTTTGTGGAGCTGGCCGGCGTGTCCTTGGGTTTCTCTTTTTCCTTGTCCTTTTCTGCATCCTTTTCCTTTTGTTTTGGGGTGGGAGTATCCTCCTGTTTTTTATCCTTGTCCTTCTCCTCATCACTGTTGTCCAGGGTCCGTATCTTTGGCGGCATTAATGTGGCTTTGGACAGACCCAATTCATAGGCTGTGCGAGATTCATTTTCGTAGAGACACTGCACCTTGGCGAGGGCATTTAAAGAGGCCATGCGATGCCTTTTTTGGCTAAAGACAATCAGATTTTTATCATCCTCGGAGTCACTACTCTCGGCAGTTTCTTCCTCATCTCCATTGGATTTTTTACCGACTTTCTTGGTGGGCTTCTCAAAGTTTTTCCCTATTTTCGATTTTGCCGGCCTGCCAGCTTTCAGGTTCTTTTGCTTTTGCAGATTTTTGACCTTGGCGGACATTAGCTTTTTGTTCAGGGCAAGGGGTTTCTTTTTGGTTAATTCCTTTTTGGGTGGCTTTTTATTGACCACTTCCTTTTCTCCTTCTTCCTCTGTCTTTTCTTCTGCACCCTTTTCTTCTTCTGTCTTATCCTCCTCATTCCGATCCTTAACTTCCAACTCATCTTTGGCAAGATCCTCCTTATCCTCCTCTTTCGTTTCAAGATCCTCTTTTGCCACTTTCAGCTCTTTTTCCTCTTCTTTGTTTTCCTCCTTCTCTTCATCGTTTTGAGCCTTTTCTTTGAGCGAGGAGAACTTTGCCGGCTCCTTTTTGGGTGTGGACTTCTTCTGGGTCTTCTTCTCTTCCTCAGAGAATTCCAAGAGATTCTTAAGTGTGGGCAATTCCATGCGTATGTTCTCCTCATCTTCTGAGCCGGATTTAAAGGCATAGATATCATCATCCTTGGCCGTGGCTTCCTTGTTTTCCGTCTTAGCCTTGGCCGCCATGATTTTTGAGTATTGAGATTTTTTGGTAACCGGTTTGGGTATCTTGGGTTTGATGGGATTGACCTTGTATTTGGGCTGAAGCCTCTGCTTGATGTTGGCTATCTTGGGAGGCTGGGTCTTCAACACCTTGGGAGGTTTGTCAGAACTCAGAGTTTTACTGACTTCCTTTGGAGCTGATTCTGTTGTTGTCTCTTTTGTTGGAGTTTCCGCATCTTCCTTAGCTTGCTGTTGTTGCTCCTCCCTATTGGAGTTACCCCCTTGACCAGACTTCTGAACCGCAATCTCCTCGATTTCCATTTGCACTTCCTCCGTATTTGAGTCTATGGTCACCTTGAGTATTTCCTCCTTTTCTTCTTCATAGAATTCGTCTAATTTATTGCACTTTGTTTGCTTCAGCTCTTCGGATGCCTCCAGGGTCTCTGGGGGCTTATTGGAACCACTGGGAGATTTTTTGGGAGATTTACTGGGAGTTTTTGATTTTTCTTCTTCCAATGGGGTTGCTTCGACCTTCGTATCCTCTTTAACCTTATCATCTATTTTATTTTTCTCTTCTTCCGTTTCTTCTTCCTTTTCGAGTATTTTCTTGGTTTCCTTTTCCGGAGTTTCCTCCTTCTGTGTTATTTTGTGTTTTGGAGATTTTCGTTTTTGAGGTGTTGCCACCTTTGGTTCTTGAGATTCTTCCTTAGTCGACTTAATTGTTTCCTCTTCTTTGATTTCTTCTTTATCCTTCTCCACGTTCTTCTTCTCCTCCATTCCCCTACTTTCCTTTTCACTTTTCTGATCTTTGTTTACTTCCGAGAATTCATTGATTTCCTTGCTTTCCACAGCTTCCTGCTTTGTTTCCTTTTCTTCATCTTTTTTGTTCTCCTCTTTTGGCAGCTCTTCTAACTCTTGCTTATCCTTCTCTTCCATTTCCTTACATTTCTCTTCCTTTCCCTTTGCCATTGTCACTTTTTTCTGCTTTGGATTGCTTTCCATTCTGGCCTTTTTCTTTTTATTATCTCCCAAATCACCCGCCAATTGCTGATCCGCTTTACCTTCCTCCTCGTCTTTTTTCTCCTCCCCTTTAGACGTTTGTATCCCACTCTTCTCCACCTGGCTCTCTTTACCACCTGCCTTCGCCTTTTCACTTACTTTCGAACTTTGTGCTCTTCTCCTGTCCTCCTCACTCACCTTAGGCCTCTTCAGCGGCTTGTTATTGTTACTCAAGGTGGCTATAACTTTGACAGCTGCCGCCCGTGATTTCGTTTTGACATTTTCCGATATCGACGATTTCATACCAAGCTCCTGGATATTTTGTTCCTTGGGCAGGATATTATCGAATCCGCTTATTTTAATATCTAAGTTCTTAAGCATTTTACTAATGGCCTTGTGTTTGCCATCCTTTTTGTCCTGACTCTTGCCAGAGGACTCTACGGAACTTATGGTACTTGAATTGGAACTCTGAGGACCCTCTTTGCGTGAATCTTCCTTGTCTTTTTCCAATTGTTTTTTCAGTTCCTCTTTTTGTGACTTGAGTGGATGGGTTTCATTATTCTCCGTCGATGTCTTCTTGACATTCTCTCTGGACGAAGCTCGTGTTGTGCTCTTTTTCTCTTCTTCCGCTTTGGGTTTTTCTTTACTCTTCGAACGTTCGTGTAGCTTGGAAGCGTCTTTGCTGGGCGATGATGTTACCGGCTCTGGATCGGTTTTATCTTTAGCACTCCCAGACTTAGGATTCTTTTTGGAGGGTGACACCGTTTTTGTGTTATCCTTTTTGTTGGGTGTCCCAGCCGCCGAGGTGGAAGCTGGAGCTGTAGTGTTTCCAGTTTTGGCCGAAGGTTTACGTGAAGCAGGCGATTGACTGGCACTACCGGTGGCGGAACGTTGTTTTTTGGCCGAAGCTGTTGTTGCTGAAGACGCCGCTGCTGCTGTCGTACTGGCTACCGTACTTGAACGTTGCTGTCGCTCAGCAACAGATAAACGGCGTTTAGGTCCCATCCCCCTGAAAAGAGAGCAGAAAAAAAATTGAAATTTAGAAATTTGAAAAAAAAAATATTTTGAAAGAAAACACTCAGTGACAAAATGTTTATAAAGCCGTATAGCCAAGTGGCGTATACGTTGCAACATAAGTTATACGCCCTGGGGGAGCTCAATTCTTATTCAGGGTAAATGTACAATGAAGTATTTTTTATTCTCAAAGATAAAAAAGTAGTGGAATAACGCTGAGAAGTAACGCCCAGATGAAAAGGCTGAAGCTAAAATATTTAAATTCTGATGAGGCTGGGCTCTTGGAAATTCTAAAATAAAAGAATTCGAAAGGTACTAAAATGTACTAAAAATGAACGCTTTGTATTGGATAAACAAACTGAGCTAGAATTCTTGGAAATTTGGAAGGAGAGTCACTGGATATTTGGATATTCGAACTTTAGGGTTACGAAAAGTTCTAAAATTGTACAAAACTTCGAAAATGATGTCATTTGGTATTATATGAACGGATAAAGCTGAAATTTGGTATGACAAGGTTGGAAAATAAGTTTGTTTTATGAAGGTAGTTTTGGAAATGTGTGCTAAGTGTAAGAACTGTTCTAACTGGTACTAAATTTCGTACAACTCCGTTTTGGGTGAACGAATGAAGCTGAAACGTTAAAACTTTGTATCAGGGTCCCTGTTGGTGGTTGGTTTGAAGTAAAGAGGTGGTTTTTGGAATGAGTACTACAAGTACACGAAAAGTATTAAATAGTACTATATTTAATACATTTTGATATTGGGTGGACAGTAATGTTATGGTGGTGGTTATGGAAATGTGTACTATAGCTGCACGAAAAGTACTAAATGTCGGTATCAGGGAAGGGATGGCACTGAAATCCTCAAATTGATATTGATGTCTATGTTGGTATCTGGAATTGAGATATGGAAGTGGTTTTGGATGTGTGTACTATAATCGTTCGAAAAGTACTAAATGGTACTAAATTTGGTAGTGGGTAATGGACAAGAGCTGGAAGCCTCTGTTGGTATCTGACATTAAGATATGGTGGTGGTTTTGAAAATGTGTACTATAATTGTATGGAAAGTACTAAACGGTAGTATATTTGGTATTGGGTGAAGGGATAGAGAAAAAATTCTGAAATTTGATATTGAGGTCTCCGTTGGTATCTGGAATTGAGATGTGAAGGTGGTTCCTAATATGTGTCCTATATTTCTACACAAAGCACTAAATGGTACTAAATGCTGATATTGGGTAAATGGATAGTGTTGGAAGCCTCCAATTTGATTTGAAAATGTGTACTTTATTTGTAAGAAAAGTACCAGATAGTACTAAATTCTGTATTGGGCGAAGGAACACAGCAGAATTCGTGAAATTTTATATAGATGTCACTGTTGTTGTATGTAGTTAAGAGAAGGAGTTAGTTTTGGATATGCGTTCCGTAATTGTACTAAATGAACTACTAAACTTAGTATTGGGAGAAATTAAAGATCTGAAATCGTGAAATTGCCACCCTATAGTAATTATCTAATGTCCACCCAAATTGTCCTGTCTTAATTTCTCAATCCATGTAAAATTCCGTGTCGATTGATTTTTAATAATGGCCAGTAGAGCGACTACTAAATCAGGATTTTTATACCCTCATCCATATGGTTAGAGAGGCTATATATCATTTGTTACGGTCAAAACTTGCCTTATCGAAATAACGGTTTTTGACCCTAGGTCTCTTTGGACCAAATCCGCTTCAGGACATTTGGAGTCGATCTAGAGATGTCCGTCCGTCTGTCTGGCTGGTGCGCACGATAACTCTCGAAGGGAGTATCCGATTTGGTCCAAACTTTGCACATCGTAATATTATTATCAAACTCAGATCGAGCTAGCTTACGTCATAGAACAACAAAATATCATAAAATGTTGTTTAAACTTTCGAAATCTTAATATCTATATCACTGCAATATCAGTCCATCCCATCAAGTACCTCCCCCACAATGAATCAATATTTGAAAAATTATAGATCTTATAAAATGCGATGTAAAAATCCAATTGTCTGCAAATCACACACATCGCAATATTATTATTAACCCAAGATCTGTTGTAAAGATGGCATATGTAGGACTACTCCTTTTGGTACCTATCCCACAAAGGGTAAAAATTTGGAATATTTAAAAGACGTTTAAAATGTAAAAAAAGCCTTAGATTATCTTCAAATATCGCATATCCAAATATTTTTATTAACCCAAGGTCTGGTGTAAAGATGGAATATATCGATCCACTCCTTCTGGTACCTCCCCCCAAAGAAGGGTCAACATTTGAAGTTGAAGTTGAAGTGAATGAAGTTCATAACACCGAAATTAACTTCCAATTCCATTTGACTTGGCACATTTGAATATTTCTACTAACACGTAATCTGTTATAAAAACGGTAGAGATTGGAACATTCCTTCTGGTACCTCCCCCACAAAGGGTCAAAGTTTTGAATAACAGAAACGTTCATTAAATCCGAAGTAAGCATCAAGTTCTCCTTATATTTCACACACATCATTATTTCTGGGATATGCTGTGAAGATTGGATATATCGGTCCACCCCTTCTTGTACCTCCCCCAAAAAAAAATATCCACGAAGCTTATAAAACGCGAAATTAACATCCGACTCCATTCAGACTTTGTACATCTCAGTTTTGCCATCAACACATGTTATAAAGATGGTAGAGATCGCCCAATTCCTTCTGGTATCTTCGAGATTTTGAAAAACAAAACGTCCAACGAAAACGAAATAAGCATCCAACTCTCTTCAAATTTCACACACACACAAACATTTTTGGTAACACAGGATCTGTTGTAAAGAGTCACAAAGGTCACAATTTTCAATACTTATATCTGTCATAACTTGCGATGCAGGTAAGCGATTTTTTACAACTTGCTATATCTATTGAATTTATCGAAATTTATGATTTCGCATAAAATTGGATATAAATGTTCGATTTTCTTGTAATTTTGCCCATACCGATATTTTTATCTGTATTAGATGAAGTATAAATATGGGATATATTGGTCCTGGAATGTCGCATTATTTATATTATATTTATATAGGTCCGATACGAAATATACAAAATTGATCCATTCCTTCGGAACCTACTCCATAGAGGGTTAACAACTTGAACAGTAATATCATGAGTCGAAATATATTTAATTAACCGAACATTAGCTGTCTACTAAACCGACTGATACTTATTACCTTGTTATTTCTTCAATCAATTTTAAAAACTTGTTGTATTTTTTATTTCTCGTCAGCATTGATTGCAAATTGCTCTATTCTCTCAATAGAACTTTATGAGCCCATATGAGTTATTCATACTGGCGTATGAGTTATTCCAGTGGTTATACGCACTAGTGTACAAACAAATATAACGTCAAGGTATATTAAATAGGTAGTGTCGTCAACAAAATTTAAGACTAAAAGTGTGAAAAGTTTCTGTAGATTTAGAACAATTTTTGACTAAATATTGGGAAACCTATTTTAAATTGAAAATTTTGATTTTTTCATGCAAAATATATGTTGCATTTCACCCGCCCAAAGATTATCGAAATAGGTAGACTTCTGCCCCGTCTTAATCTTTGAAATTCCTAGTCAATTGTTTACAATCATGAAACACTCCCACAAAATCAGGAAATACTTCAGTTTTGGATTCATATCTTCCCCTAAATATTTTGTATAAACTCCAAAAAAATTATAGGGTTATATTCTGATCAAAAACCATACCCCTGTAAAATATGATGATTGTATACTTAAGAGCTACAAGCAAACAAAAAACTCTTCCCCCAGTATCTCAAAAGTTCGCCTCAGGACGATTTTTTACCCTACATCACATGTGGTAAGGGTATTATGTCTTTGTGCATTTGTTTGTAACATGGAGAAGGAAGCGAGATAGATCCATAGTTACTTTTGAGGATCTTCATAGAATCACTTTCTAAGCCGATTTATGCATGTCAGTCCGTCCGTTGTCCATGTATTTTTGTGAAGAAAATGCAGGTCGCATTTATTATCCGATTGCGATGAAATTTTCCTAATAATATTTGTTTGGCCCAAGGACAAATCCTATAGAAATTGATGAAAATCGGTTTAAATTTAGATATTGGTCTCTTTAATCGATTACGAGTTAATTGTGCACCAAATGGCCAATATCAGTCCAAATGACCTGAATTTTGGTACATCTGACCGAATTCAGTCTAGAAGCAAGTATATCAAATTTGGAGAAAATCAGTTCAGATAGAGCTATTGTTCTCATATGTATCTTCGACCGATTTCACATTTATTGTGCACCAAACGGCTAATATCAACTCAAACGGACTGAATTTTGGCACTTCCGATGGAATTTAGCCTAGAAGCAAGTATATCAATTTTAGTTCAGATATATCAATAGCTCCCATACATATGTTTCATCCGATTTGATGCTAAAGTCCTTCACATGCGTAATATGCACTCCAGAAGAATGATATTTGCGATATCAGGTTTACTGTGCACCAAATGTCTAATATCAGCCCAAATGGACTGGATCCTATAAACCAGTACTCCAAACTTGGTGGAAATCGGTTCAGATAAAGCTATAGCTCCCATTTATATATTTCATCCGATTTGATGTTAAAGTTCTTCACATGCGAAAAGTACACTCCACAACTATGATATTTAACACCGGACAACAGATGAAGCTCAGATATAAGTGTTGAAAATTTCATCAAGATCGGTTCATTCGATATAGCTCTCTTTACATTTTCGACCGATTTCACGTTTATTGTGCACCAAACGGCTAATATCAGCTCAAATGGACTGAATTTTGGCAATTCAGACTGAATTAATCCCAGAAATCAGTACTTCAAATTTGGTGTAAATCATTTCAGATATAGCTATAGCTCCCATATATATGTTTTATCCGATTTGGGGTTTAAGTCCTTCACATGCGTAATATTCACTTCACGACAATAATCGTTGGTACCAGATATCAGATACAGCTGAGAAATAGG